ACCTCTATGTTTTCTTGTAAAATATTTTCTATCAACATTTGACCCGTAGGGGACCACAGGGAAAAATTTAAGGAATAAAAAGCTGAGAGGGAGCAGGGGTCAAATTTTGATAGAAAATATTTTACAATAAAACATAGAGTTTTTGGTGCATTTTTTCATGCTGATTTCGAATATCGTGTTTATTTTGCATAAAAAGTAACTTTCGACAATCAAAATCTCAAAATACTACCCATTTTTCGGTATTTTCTCTGACCGAACAGAAATATATACCTTTCCGAAGAATGCTCATAACTTTCGAACTGTAAGAGATACAGAGCTGGGCCTAGTCTAGAATTGTAGATCTCGATCCGGGCTATCAATTGCACTTCAAGGAAATCAAAAACCGCCATACCTTCTGGAAATGGCAATCTTGTAGATTTTGCATTCAAAGACTTACCATGGTAAATCTCACCAGAAGACCTGATTATTTCATATTACTATGTGCCGTGCTGGGCTCCATCAAACAACGAAAACCGCAGGTCTCTATCACTTTCCCTTCAAAAGTTATAAGCATTGTTGTGAACTGCCTTTTTTTCAAAAATCGATATTAGTACTAAAGAGATTGGCGGTAAAAAGCCACCCGGAAAGAAGATTCGTTCGTGATGTTTTGCTTCCATTGTTTTTTATTATTAAACTTGAATAGAAACCAGTGATCAAATGAGTAAAACACCAACATTGATTTTTCGGATACAAAACAGTTTCAATATGTAATCAGAGAAAAGAGTTCCTTGATTCTATCAGCGAATATGACAATCAATTTTCTTTGCCCAATACATTTCATTATCTTTATCATTGATAGCATTTCGAAATATCATACAGGGGAATTCATTATATTTATTTTTAAGGGTCGACCATCAGTTAAACAAAAATATTTACGGTTCTAAATTCTCTATATGCGGCCACTGAAGTTGAAGTCGCTGCGATGGAATTTTCACAGGACTAAAGTCTCGCAGAAATCGTGCAGTTTGAATTTTTAGCAAGAACATGTTCGCTCTTGCATGATGTGGATGTGAAGATGTGAGTATAGAGTGTGAATTTGATCCGGAAGGCAACAACGCACGCCAAAACAAACATTCACACACCCACACCCACATGTACAATCTAATTTTTTGTTCTTTTCCCTTTTTATCATAATCACATAGCAGATAGAAATGAATTCTAACAATCCGCAAAATTAGTCAGCTGGTAATATGTACTTTTCTATTCTAAATCTGTTATAGAAGAACTCAGTTTATTTTTGTCTTCTAGCATAAGTGTTCTTTAACGGAAATCTACTACTAAGTTCTCATAGAATTTATATCAGATGTGGCAATATTGGACAATCTTGACTACTTTCTTCCATTTTCGATCTCATTTTATCTACTACTGACACCACCAGTTGATAGACCTACAAAACCTAACCTTGCAATCTTAGTTTTTCTTTCAAAAAAGCCGCCTGTTATTCTATTGATCGCAGAAATATATACGAATCTACTTCAAGAATGCTATATGTTTCGGTTTTTTGGAATTTCTCTTCTGTTGTACCTTTTTTTATCTTCTCGAGACTACTAACCGATAGAGCTTGAAAAATTACCCTTATACTCAAAATCTGATGTTGAAGCAATACTGGCTTCATAAAAAATTATCGGGGCAAAGATCTATGTATTAGAAAAAAGCTCCATTGTGCCCCGTAATCGCCGTTTTTTTTTCAAAAGTTATATTTTTTCGACATAAGGAGTTCAGATTCATAGAGAACTCCAAATTCTGGGTTAGAAAAAATATTTTTCCCTAAATTTTGATGAATAGTTATTATATGAGATGCCCAATAATGAAAAATAGGATTCACAGAGTGGTTCTGACTATTTCAAGGATAAAGGAGTTTTGACAGCTGTCATTATGATATTCATAACCAGCACCCCTGAATCCGCGAGCATATCTGCTTTTGATTCGTGAAAAAAAGAGTTTTTTTTTTTCATGATACCCTTGGGGATGCAAATCGGTGTTATGCGCCCTCGTCCTTTGACACAGATAGATCAATAAAGCATCTCATTGAACTTCATTTGAAATTTTTTTTCCACAAAAGCTTTTAGCGTGTTTACTTTTGGAAACTGTGGATGGCAAGCATGAAAAGAAAAATAAGTTCAGATGTCATTATAATCGATTACGTCGGCACCGATTACAAGCCATAAAATGACATTGGTAGCAACGGAATAGATATTGTGGCAAGAAGTGACCACATTCTTCACATCTACCTCCACCTCGTGTATATGCCCATCCATTAGTGTGTCGACACTCATGATTAGCACGCAGTTGGTTGGCCATGCGCTGTACAACTTCATTCATATCTATTCTATTGTTGGTTTGTGCTAGTTGACGAGCAGGAATTCTAATAAACAAAATTTCAATAGTATTTTATTATAATCTTAGTTTTATGTTCGCTTATGAATCCTTTAAATACCTTGCAGTACGGACACGAGCTTCTGCATAAAGACGTCCTTCATCCCATTGAGGACATTTACAATTTTTCCAGGGTGTTGAACACACATAACAAAATTCGGCACGACATCGACAAGTCATATGGTAATAGCCATGAGTCAACTCTACCATTGCTCGACATTGATAACAACGAGTCCAGCCGGCTTCACGAGCTGTAGCACGAACAGCTGTTGTTGCCTCATCCTTAGGACAATCAAGTTTACCATGACTAGCCACTTTGCAAATAGAACACGTTGTTACTCCACAGCCACGTCTAGGATAGAAATAATAAATAAAAATATTTATGAGTTTTATTTTCATAAGTTCTAACTGAATTTAAAATGTGTTGTCTTATACATACTTTGGACATGTACCTATACCATTAACGATAAGTTTTGGAGGAATAAAAGTCGAGCAAGTAGGTTTTGAGCAATAAAGACGATCTTTTGTTGAATATTCAAGATGTTTGGCATGAAATTTTTCTATTTGTGTCAATGTTAATCTTGCTAAATCAATCGGAATTATTTTTTGACAGCAACGTGGTGGCATCAATGTTTCATCCTGCATTGATTTCACAAATAATTCTTGCAGACAATTAATACAATATGTATGATTGCATGGAAGACGAGGATCTGTTTTAATGGTATATTCCATACACAAAGCACATTTTTTTCTAGTAATATATCGCACAAGTTATTGGTTCAAAGTCAACGTTTTAACAACAGAAACTTACTTTTTCTGTTGATTGTAAGTGGTTACGATATCTTGAATAATTGGTTGGCTACTCACCGCTATAATACAAACAATAGTATATGTAATTTGTTCTCATGAAAAAATATTCTACTGATATATTAACTCATTTGCCCACTAACTACTGGCAATATAAACTAATATCCTTAAATATAAGCTGAGACTTGAAATAAGCTAATCATACTTGTTGGTTCATCTTCATAATTGTTCTCATCATCAGCATCATCAAGTAACATTGCCATACTACGAACGTTATCAGGAATTGTATCCAATGTGACACCAGCGAGTCTTGCTGCTAAGATTCGATCTTCTTCTTCTTGCATTTCTTGTAAAGTAATTTGTCGAATAAGAGCAAGATCTGTACGCCATGCATCATCAAAATTTTTTAACAATTGAGAATCAGGATCCAATTCATCAATGGCTATAGCACTTGCCATTCAATATTTATTTTATTTTTTTTAAATATTGATTAAATAAGAAATTATTGATGTACTGAGATAAATGATTTACAATTATAATGTTTTATCTAAGCGCAAAATAGTAAATTTTAGAGCGCGAGCTTTATTTAGTTAGTACTAGAGTGAAATAGAAAAATAATAGATAACGATGTATATACTATGCATAAAAAAAAATCTTTACTCTTCATATCAACTTTAAATTTAGATAATAGAAAAACAGTCTGTTTCAAACATATAGAAGTAATGATCTGCTTAAGTCATCTTCAAACTATTGGAATTTGTATGCTAAATAAAAGATCATCTAATTTGAAGAATAAATTAGTATCTGCCCTAGAAATAAATATACATTGCATAACGCAAACAGACTTTAGGAAGCTAACAATGGATACGATGAGTAGTCGAATCTTGAAAATATATCTTTTTCCCGTTCTGTTCGAATATCAAAACCTCGAAAGTATTGTCTCGTCGTATACTCATTCCGATCATGCCCAGCCCATTGAAATTCTGATGACTCGAAGAAAGGATTCATATCAGTAACATACTTTCGGTTGCTCAATATAATTCTGATCAGTCAAATTTTATCGAACAATCGAAGCTTTGATAATTTGACCCATCAAAATCTATGAGAGGTATGTCATTCGAGGGCATAGAGCTTTGAGATGGGCCCTTGAAATATCCTTTTCCGATAGGTGGAGAGGTCAATGATTGAAAAACTTTCAGAAATCTTGGTTAGTTCAAAACAAAGATTACGAATTGATCGGATAATCGAAAGACACAGGATAAACGATTGATTTATACCATGTTTATATTGAAATATTCTCTTGAATTTCAATCGAAGATTTTAACTTCGTTACATCATAGACAAACACACCACAAATTAATAATTTCCACAAAGATTCTTTTGAAATATTTTGTTTAAGTTGAAGCAAAGATTTCACATGATTAGATGACCTACCTACACACAGCTAATCAATAATCCAAGCATCCTTTTGTTCAAAGATTCTGCCAAGCCCATGGAAACATTTACAACTTATTAAATAGCCGACTAAACCACGGAAAATGAATAATTCATAGTAAAATTCTATTGAAATATTTTATTTACTTCAAAGGAACGATTTCAAATTGATACAATGACCGATGAACACATCACAAACGAAAGGTTCACATTAAAATTTTGCTCAGATATTTAGTTGAATTAGTACCAAAAATTTCAAGCAGATTAAGAGGTCCGACGAACGAGGACCGATGAATAAATCATATCTACAATAAGTTCGCATATTTTTCTTAATTCACCGCAGGAAGTTTGCGTTTGCTGCATGGTGGAGCCAACAGAATGAAAATGAATAAGTCTTTTTTCCAGATTCTATTTTAATATGTTGTGCAATTTACAACAAAAATTTCAAGTTTATTACATGGTCAACGAATACACCACCTTATCGTCAAATAATCAATGACGGCGACGACAAGATTTTGTTGATGTTTGACCTGGAAATGACGATGACTGTTGAATATTCGAAAGAGATCCGTGATTTCGATTTCTTGTTGTTACTTGACTTAACAAAAATTTATCCTCAACAAAGGTTTCACATCTAAGAAAAAAGTGTTTGCTATTGTTCATTAACATAGTTATAGCAAAAAATCAATTTAATCAAATTTCTTACGAGTCAACGTACCTTTTCATCATGAAATATGATTACAACCTTTAGCTTGTTTTTACTTATTTGTTGTTGACTACTATTCTTTTTACTTAACCATTTATTTACAATTAGTAAATAAACAATCAAACAGAATTTCAATTCTATCATATCTTAATCTCATAGAAGAACAATTCGAGTAATATATGCACTGAAAACAAATAAAGCCACTCATATCTTATTGTTATCCATATAATATTTTCATATAGTTAGCAGTACGATAATATCATACAATGTATTAAATTCCATTTGCGAAATTTTCTTTATACACTGTTTTCAAAGCAATAGTTTTTGAGGCTAAAGATAAAATACATAAGTATCAGTTTTAGATTTGAAAAAAAGCAAAATATATTCAGTTAATATGAACGTAATATTCAAGTTTGCCGTTGATTTGTATTGATAAGTGGAGGAACAAGTAACGAATGTCATTTGATTGAACGTTGTAAATTTATTCAAGCGCATCGTTACCTTTTCTTGTACAAATATTTTTCTTTTCTTTCGAATAATGTGATGTTATTTTATTCAACTATTCGACGGCGATGGTATTCATTTTATTATTCAACATATTTTAAATCTCAACGAACAATTTTATCTTTTGGAACTATTTTACTAATTTGTCTATTCATTATATTGAAAAAGAAAAATAATTGTTGGAGTAAGGAGTATTTTTATTAAAAAAATAAAATTTATATAAATTTTTATTTAGATGATTATTATCGTTCTCGTTTATTTTGTTTTGTATTAACAAGTCAATCCAATTTAGAAAATCGTTCACGTGCTGTTTATGAAACATGGGTTCATCGATGTGGTCGATTTGTATTTATTACAAGATTAAATTCATCAACATCTTATACTATTTATGATAATCAATATAAATATTTAAAAGAAGATCAATTACCAATTCAATATATTCCAACTTTACCAGATGAAAATTATTCACATTTATCAGATAAAGTCAGATCAACGCTTTTATTTTTAAATAAATATTATCCAAATTATGATTGGTATCTTAAAGTAAATGATGATACTTATATTATTGTAGAAAATCTTCTTAGATTTTTAGTTAGTACAATTAAGTAAGAAAGATAAATTTTTCTTTCATATAAAATAAGAACTTTTTCTAAATTAGACGACGTCCAAAACCTGTTTTATATGGTTATAGATTTCGTGAAGATTATTATGTAAATGGTGGTGGTGGATATGTATTAACACGTAAAGGACTTAATCTATTTGGTTCATATATAAATAATGATTCCAGATATTTTGAATGTAAATCTCCAATGGAAGATATAATGGTTGGATCATGTTGTAAAAGAATTTTTGAAATAGCACCAAAAGATGAAACAAAAGATTTAATAACTGTTGGTGAAACAATTGATGATGAAGGAAGAGAAAGATTTCATCCACAACCATTTCGTGTACATTTTAATGGACTCCCAAATAAAATTGCAAGATATTGGATTTATGATAAAGCATTTCATCATAATTTATTTGTAAGTTTTTTATTTTTATTTATTATTTAATATTTATCTTTGATTAAAATAGGGTTATGAATCAATAAGTGAAACAGCAATTAGTTTTCATTATACTCAACCTGAAGATATGTATCAAATGGATTCATTACTTTATCATATTCGACAATTTGATAAAGAAGTTTGTCCTTCACATTCATAATAAATAGATGGTTGGTGACGATAAATGAATGATTCTTTCATTAACCCTTCTCTCCTTCAGGAAAGTTCTTTTCTTAAATTTACATAAGTCATATTTTATTTTTTCTAATCTTTTTGATAAATATTTGAATTATATCTTTTTTCAAAAACTAAAAATTTATTTTCTGTCTTTTTTAAGTTTTATTCTAATAATATATCACAATAATCAACAGATTTTTGCATGAGGAAAATAGTCTTTTAATTTTGAAAGATTTTTTGTGTAGCCAAGTACTACAAGACGACTGATTTTGGAACAATTAATACGTGTTGCATCTCTTGTAAAATTGTCCGTTACTTTTTTTAAACAACCATAAGATACACGAAGGTGAACATTACTTAATAAACATATCTTTGTATTGTTTAAAAATTCTTCAATATAATCTTCATGAGTTCTAGCAAGATCAATTTGAATAAGATGAGAATATCTAATTATTGACCATTGAAGATGGTTATTTTGTTGCGGTTCATAATTCTCTAAACTTAATTTTTTAATAGATGGGAATGATTGAGCAATTCGAAGCAAAAAATCATGTTCAAATGGACGTTCATCAAGTAATGATATTTCACGAACACATTTGAATAATCCACCAGGAAAATTATTTCTTATATTATGATAAAATATCCATGTATATGGATATGAATAAATATGACAATAAAAATAGTTTGAGTTAAAATAATAAACAGATGAAATAATTTGACTATTTTGAAAATTTCGAAATGTATGTTGAATATCATCGTTTGATGGTAAATTAATCGGCTGATCCGCAAGATGAAGACAAATAATTGAACAAATATTAAATGTGAATTCGTTTAATCGTGGCATATGATTAATAATATTCTTTTCCAAATCCTCACCATCAATAATTGGTTCACATATATTAACAAAATACAAACTAAGTTTTTCTAAATTTGTCATTCTTTGGAAAAGTGGTACCAATATATAATCGTACATTTTTATTTCATCTTCATGGATTAGCGAAAAGCATTTTAAATTGAGCAGCTTCTTCTAAGTACACGAAAGAAAAAGTAATTAATATTCAAAAAGATTATTTATTCATTGAAAAAGAGATTAATATATGAGTAGCTTACATCATTGCCAACTATTTTCTCTCCATGAATACCACGAGGCCGAATCGTAACATAAAACTTATGCAACTGATTAAACTGACCATCAAGTAAACAAAGACAATCGTAGATAGTTTTTACTACAACATGTAATTCTAATAAATTTGAAGAGAAATTAGTTGAAATTGGCCTATAAAATGCTAATTGTTCATAAATAGAAGATGAACTGAAATTTAAATATCGTAAATTCTTGAAATGATTACAGATGTTAATAAATATAAATATTTTTCTATCCTGTACTGCATATCCAGATGCACCTGGTATTGGTTTATGTGGTTTCAACTGAATAAAAAGTGATGAAATTTGATTTTGAAATCGATGAATTAAATAACTTCCCTCTAAACAAAAATTGAAAATATTCTATACACTTTTTTATTTATCAATAAAAATCAATTGTTCAATTATCATAAATTAAATTCTTTAATAGATTGTAATATATTGTCCGTACTATGTTTTCTTATCTTATCTTCTATTTCATAGTCTAGATTTTCGATTTTGAGAACGAAAGAATTTTAATTGAAGATATTACAAAACAATATCTGTTTTCTTTTAATTGATGTCTTTATATTTTGAATTTTTATCAAATTCATATTCATCAATTATGAAACTATGCGTGTAAAAATCAAATGTTGATTATATAAAATATATTTTCAAATAAATTTGCCTTATATAATTAATCATTGAAAGAGTATAGAAGAAAAATATCTTACCATAAAAGACTTCACCCCCTGTTTCTGCTACAAAACCATATAAACCAAGTGTATGTAAATTAGGATAATTTGTTGCAAGAAGAATACGTTCCATAAATGATGATTCAATATTAAGTCGTTCGATTTTATCATTGATTCTAGGTAAAATTTCAAGACAAAATCGATCAAGTATTATATCAGTGAATTCATATGATGAACTATGAATAGATTTTATTAATGTTAAATTTCTTGTAAAAATTCTATCATTTAGAATTGTATCAAGTCGCGTATTAAGACCTAAGAAAGAATAAAGTACATCACAATTGTACAAGTTTTGGAAAATAATCAGAAGAACTTCATCTGGTAAATTCTCCAGTTGAACACATGAACGTTCCATGTTTATACTTGTCACTTAAGGTTTTTTTGCTTTTCTTATGAATATATACATCTATACTCATCTGTTCAAGCTGACCGATGTCGTCAATGAAAACAATGAGCATATGTTTGTATAGTCGAAATTGACCATCAATAAATGAATAACCGATCGAATATTTTTTTTTCTTTCTATTCAACATTTAGGGGTCAACACACACTGGAAAATGAATGAAATGAATTTTTTTTCAAGTCAATAGCGTCTACACACTAAGCAGCTCAGTCATCAATGAGAGCGGAAAACATCGTCTTTGTGTCTACTACTGACAAAATGCTTGTGAAAAAGTTGATATTTATTTCGATGTCCCTATAAAATCATAGGTGTCATATTTTAGGTATATATGGTTTGATGAAAAAAGTGTATATACATGAGACGATACGTCTATCTTCATATTGGAAAAAAGTGTTAGACGTGGTTGGTACATTAACATTAATTCATTTGGAAAAGATGACTTAAATCTGTTTTAATTTTCTGAGTCGAACTTTTTCTTTCATGCACATGCAATGCTTGAAAATCTTGAGCAAAAAAGTCATGTACGGTGAACATATCTTGAGGTAAGACATGACACATTTTGGAAAGGTAAAGCGCTTGCTTATCGTATTCATGCACGAGTAATCTTTTTCAAACGTTTGTATTTCTTGCTGAAGCAGATGTAACATGTTTGTGCAATGGAAATATGTTTTTTCCATGTTTCAGTCATGCATTGTGTGTACTATGTCGCAGGGTAAAAGTAATACTCCAGTAAAAATAAATGTGTAGAATTTTCAACAGAAGGTCTAAGAGGATTTATTCTTTTGGGAATTTTCATGCCTGATCAGAGTCTATGCTATACATAAAGTTCGAACTCAAAAACGATTGAGTAGTTGAAAGCGTTATTTTCTAAGTATGTTTCACATATTTCTACCGTTGTACTCGAAGATGATAAATAGACATGATCCACATAGTAAATGTCTGTAACTTTGAATATATGAATATACAATATCCTAATTCTGTATGTCAATAAAATCAAAGAAAATATTCATTTGAACAAGGAAAAAACTTTTGCCGGGCACTAAACACCCACTCGTAAGATATTTGAATAAAACATTTATTTTCGAGAGGTCGCTATCAAAATATGTATCTGTTTGATTGATTAGTTAAATGACAACTAATACATGTCATGTCATGTGTTGACATGTATTGGGTATTGGTTCGTTTTGATTGATTCATTAATAAATGCGAAAATTATATTCAGTTGGATCAATTCCTTATCGTCAACAAGGAACAAAACTCAACAAATTTCTAATGGTTTTTAAATAAATCTGTTGTTATTTTTGATATTTTTTGTAAATTCAGAAAGGAAAAATTTTGATGAAGAAGAAGAGATGTCAATTGAAGAACAAATTAATTAAAAGAGCAAAGAGATACTCAATCATTATTGAATAAGCATTAATGAACAAAAAAAAACCATCATTAATGAAACACAAATTTTCCTTAAAGATGCCAAAGAGAAAATCGACTTTTTAAAAATGAAAATTCACAAATTAAAGAATCGTACAAATCATCGTTTATTTGATATTCAACGTTTTTTAAATGTTTTTAGTTTCAAATAATACGGATTTATCGATAAACCAATTTGATCTAATTGAAGAAAAAATTCAATCACTCAATAAACAACTTTAAATGGAACTTAAAGTATATTCATTTCACACTTTTTTTTAAATGCATTTCATAAACAGTAAAATCGATAGGTGAAAGCAGACGCAGAAACTCGTTTAACAACATATAATGGACAAAGAGCACAAAAAATATGTGATGAAGTTCAAATTTTATTATAAGATGCAAAAATGAAAATTGGATTTGTTAAATTAGATATAAAATGTCTTCAATATGATTTTAATTTAATTAAAGAAAATAAAATTTTTGAAAATTCATCAGAACAAACAATTGAAGAATTAGAACATTATTTATCAATGAAAAAATGTGCAGAATATGCTATTCAACTTCTTAAACAAAATGGAGCAAAAAAAAGGAACTTTTATCTCAAGCTTATGGAAATTTATTTCAATCTAAACAAAGAAATGCATTACTTGAAGAAACAAAGAAAAGAAAATATCTAAAATATTCTATTAACAAAGCAAATTCAATTACTGGAATATTTCAAGTTAGATTATATTATTTTATTAATTTATCTTGTATTTCATCATTATTATTTATATAAAAGACCTCTGGCTTGTCAAGACTTACTTCAACCATCTCTTCTTATAACTCTTACTAAACATGATAGTTGTAGTACAACTTCCAAAGCTTTATTTAGAACATTACATGTAAAAAATAATTTATCAAGTATACAATATTTCGTTTTCCAATAAGATTCATCAGAATTATAGATAAACTCAATTAATAATCGATAGATATTTTGAGATTCATTGGAAATTAAAGTTATATGTGATTATCATATAATAAACAGATTGAGTTTATATAAATTTATCTCCCAAAGTTTAGTTGAAATTATTTTTGTGAAAGTATTAGATATGAATGAATAATAAATTGTTTCTAGATTAAATTTTGTTGAAAATTTATTTAGATAAAATTAATGTAATATTAGGTATTGAGAATCTTCAGAAAGCTGAAACTGGTTTTAAAATCTGTAGTCAACATTTACAGAAACAAAATCATCACTTAATTGAAAAGTACCTGTTGTATCGATGTCAAATTGAATGACAACTCTCAAAGAAGTTTTTCTTCTCTTCTTTATAGAATTTTTCTTTCTTGTTTACATAAGTTACATCTTCTTTCTAATCTTTTTGACAAACATTTGAATTATATCTTCTTTCAAAGAAAAAAAAAATTATTTTACTTCTTGTTCAAGTTTTGTTTTAATAAAATCTCACAATAATTAATAGAATTTTGCGTGAGAAAAATAGTCTTTTAAGTTTTTATCCAAATTTTTCGGACCGCCTGATAACGTAAGACGATCGACTTTTGAACAATTCATTCGTGTTGCATCTCGTGTAAATGTGTTTGTTTTTTTTTCCAACGAATCATAACATACACGAAGATTAACGTTGTCTGCTAAACATGTTTTTGTATTATTTAAAAACTCATCAACATAATCTTCATGAATATTAATAAGATCGATTTCAACAAGATGATGATATTTAATTACGAGCCATTGAAGATGATTATTTTCTTGTGCTGAATAATTGTGTAAACTTAATTTTTTAATTAATGGAAATGATTGATTAATTCGAAGAAAAAATTCATGTTCAAATGGATGTTCATCACGTAATGATATTGTACGAACACATTTGAATAATCCACCAGGAAAGCCATTTGTTATATTATGATAAAATTGGCTTGTGTATGGATATGAGTAAATATGACAATATATTAATTTAGCTTGTACAAATTGATGAATACTTGATAGAATTGTATTTGGAAAATTTTTAAACGAATTTTTTATGTCTTCGTTTGTTGGTATAGGTAATTTACGTTTACCATCAATTTCAGCTAATGATCCAATATTAAATGTAAATTTATTTAAATTTGACATGGCATTAATAAAACGTGTAGATAAGATACTACCATCAACAATCGAATGACCAACCATTAAAAATTCTAAATAAAGTTCATTTAAATTTGGCATTCGACGTAAAAGATTAAGAAGACCGTTTTTGTCACGGTCATATAAATTATTCATATAAGTAAGTGAGAAACAGGTCAAATTTGGCATCTTATCCTACAAAATAAAATGATAATTAGTATTCTTGTAAAAAAAAAGAATATTGATGAGCCACTTACTGATTTGTGCATATGATTTAATGAATATAAATCATGAAAACTGTATATTCTTACATATAAATGAGTAAGTCGATCGAATTTAACATCAAGTAAAAAAAGACAATCGTTAAACGTATCGACTTCGATATTTAATTTCGATATATTTGATGAAAATGAAACTGAATCGATATTGTCAAATCCTAATTGTTCTTGTTCAGCAATTGAGCAAAATTTTAAATATTGTAAATTCGTAAACATGGTGCAAGATTGTTTGAATAAAACTTGAGGCATTTTCATACTTTCTAATATTTCGTCCACGCTCTCCAAATCAAGTACGTGTATTTCTCTAGTAATGTTTTTTGTTTTAATAATCAAAGTTTGAATTTTTGAACCAACATTTTGAAATAATAAACTATCATCTAAATAAAGAAATAAATATTTGAAAATTTTTATTAAATTAAAATATTTTATTTTATTTCGTTTAAAAATAAACCGGTCTTTAATGATCTTCATTTAAATTCTCTTATAGATTATGGTGGAACAGATGATAATATCTTACCATTAAATAAATTAATTGCTGTTGATGATGTTACATATAAAACAAGTGTCTTTAAGTTTGGATAAGTTGTTGAAAAAAGAATTTGTTCTATAATTGATGCATCAAGACCAATACATTGAATTTTATGATGAATCGATGGTAAAATTCGTGAAACTCGATCAAGTATGATATCATTATTAATTGAAAATGATGAATCATTCAACGATGTTAATACTAATTGTTTTTCAATTATATGATCGACAATTAAATTAAATCGTTTATTGATATTGATGAACGAATAAATCATATGATGATGGTGCAGATATTTGAAAATTATCAAAAGAATTTCATTTGGTAAATCATTCAATTGAGAACGTGAATGTTCCATATGTATAACTTCACTTAATGCTACTTTTTTTACTTGGAATATAATGTATTTGTGTATGCTTCGGTAATTCTCTGAAACAAAGACATAGGATAAGTCGAGCAATAGGAAATCTGCTATTATTAGTTTGCTTCTTTTGACAAGACTAGATATAACTTTGATCAAGTACACAGAGAAAATTATTCTTTATCGATCTATGTTCTTAGATTTTTTTTAAAAAGTGGTAAGTATCGAGAGACAACATCGTCCATGATGAGATTGGAGCGACCTCTTTACGGTATATTTTGTTTTTAGTGGGTAGAATCTTGAAACTTGAGCTTAAGGATGACAAACGAACACTTAGCCAGTTTCTTTATATCTATTGTGACCCGAAAATTCTCGGTATGAATCCAGAAAAAAGTATTTTTCATCTTTCAAAAACAACCTTTACACTTCCGACATGAAAAAATAACGACATAATGAAAACGACTGTTTACAATATTTCCCTAGATAGTTAGCGCGAGACGCACAATCACTTAGAAAGACATATCTCGAAAGACTGCGTCTCATTTTACTGCCTAGCATTCAACTTAAGAATTTTTTTATACCGGCTCATATTCTTATTAAGTTGAATATTATCACTAGTTAATACACTGGTTTCTGGTTGATCCTACAAGAACAATTTCCCATGTCTGAAATATTGAAGATCGCTTATGAGTAACAATGCTTCCATTAGACACGCTACCGACCGCGCTCTTTTCAATGGTAGACTCAGATTGTTTTAGATTTGACTTTCAACCTTTCCCGTCTATGAGTGATTGATGACCTTTTTTGCGCATATGTTATACAAATCTTTCTACTCCACGAAATGATAAAAAATATCCGAAGAAAAACCTAAAAATCGTCCTCAAACAGGACTCTCATCGCTCTTATAATTAGCGGTTTTTCATGGTTTCCAATAAAAATAAAAATCTCTTAGCGATTTTCTTGTGCATTAGACAATTGTATAGCAACACAGTTATATTATTCAGAATCAACTCTAAAAACTGCATCGAATCACATATAATGTGAAAAAAAAAATTCCGTCAAAATTTGACATGTGATCGCCCACAGCTCTGTTTTTTAAAAATGTTGACCTTTGGTCCCCTATAGTTCACGGAAAACAATTTCTTTCACATTATATGTGATTCGATACAGTCTCTAACGCTGATTATGAATCATATAACTATTCGGCTATATGGTAGTAAAATTGCATGTACAAGTTTTAGATGACACTGAACAAAATCAGAACATGAGATAAAAAAAATAAAATTTAACCGACTGCTTTGATATCTGGTATGATCCTCAACGGCCCCATATATACGCTCTTTCAATTAATTTAAACTACTAGTAATAACAAACTATCATACTATTTTTAAAATTAATATGGTACTCGCCAGTCTTACCAAATATTAATGAATGATGTGAGATGCTTGCTTTTGTTTTTTCTCTTCTTTTATTTATGAAAAATACGTAGTAAAATATACGAATGACAAAGACAAAAGAAAGAGAAGAAGAAGAAGGGAATAATCAAGACGAAAGAGATAGTAGGAATTACATGATAGCATAGTAATATATGTTTAAGAGAGATAAATAGAAAGAAAATTGAGGTATATGTGATAGAATTACGCTGTAAAAAAATAGGATGTTTATTTAGAATTAAAGATCAATATTGTTTGCTTTCATGCTTATTGACAATAATGATCGCTTGCTGGATGATGACATTTATCACACTTTGGATTTCCAGCTCCAACAGCACCAAGAAAGCCCAAACTTCCACTGAATTGATGACAAGTGCTAATTGGAGGATTATTGCAACGAACGCAACATACTGTATTGCAACGAGAACAGGCAATTGGCATGATTTAATACTGTTGATGAAGCTAAATAGAAATAAAGTCCAATACATTTTTTTGTTTACTGTAATTTGTTTAAAAATAAAAGAACTGACAGGATCAACTACATACATAGAGATATAGATGTAGAATATGGGCATAGGAATAACGTTACAGGCACAGAGGTATAGATTAGAACCGATCGGTTTCGTTACCATTGTAATATTTTCTTTCAGTTAGACAAGATCAGGACCGATTGAGTCTATGACCGCTCTATTGGTAAGAATGATCATTGATTCAATAGCTAATTAAATGTGACACTATGATGAAGAAAAAAAGTACTTTTAAGCGCATGATGTTGACTCATGTATGTTGATGGAGGAAAGAAACTGTTACTACTTTCTGTCGATTATCAAATATCTATGGGATAGTTTCCATTGTGCATTCATAAGTATAGCTTCTGTCAGACGCACGACTTACCTTTTCTTCGATTGACTTGTTTTTGTTTGTTTGGCGATGTGATGAAATGAGCGATGCTCGTTGCTTATATACCCTTTCATCTTGCATTTTTTTATGTCTCTCTCTCCTTTCTCTCTTCCCTCGCATTTTTTTCTTCGCTTTTTCCTATTTGCTAAATACAAATGGGCCAATCAAAATTTGAGCCCATCAAGTTGAAGTTTTGATCAAATTCAAACTGTTTTAAACAACTGAAAAAACATTTATATTCCACTTTTGTGCAGAGTTTAGCACTATTTATCATTGATAATATTTTTAAACCAAACCAAATTCAAAAAAACATACTTTATCCTCGAAATAAACAATTCAAGCATATAAAAACAATGAGATAATTCAATCAAAACTAAAAATATCTAAACCAGAAAGTGAAATAATTTTGAACGCTTATATGTACAAATATTATAAAAAAAAATACAATCTGTATTCTTTCTTATTCGGCAGATATATTTAGTGATGAAAAGCAAAGAAAATATTACCAAATATAGTTTATATTTTAATTTCCAAAAGTTTCGTTAACAACCATGAACACCATCATTCAAAATAAAGAACATACGAGAAGTAATTAGTTACATGATATGATTCCTTTCGTAGATAAAAGAAGTGTAAGCGATGTGATTGCTTTTTCTACTAATAGAAAGTGTAAAAATTAAAACGAATAATGGACGAAAAGAAAGACATGCAGAACGTGACAAAGGAAGCATTGTTCTGCTATCAGCTAAAGTTCTCTAATATGCAATAAAACAAGCAATTTTAATCTATTTTCTTGAATTTTCCTTTTAATTTTTCTTTCCATATCATATATAACAGCAATTACTCAAACATCACAAATTGTTTAACTATGCATTCAAATGAACAACAGTACAATTGATTTGCGAGTGCTTGTCTTAGCTTGCACAAGGATTTGAAAAATAACTGCATTTAATAGCAGTAGTTGGGGAACCTGTCGTTGTTTGTATTTATTTTTCAAAATTTAAATTTCATTTCAAAAAGCCCAACAAGCGTGAAATCAAAGAAAAAATTGCCAGCCGGCAATTCTTGACCCTACAAGTAAATCAAAGACCGCCATATGCATCCCACACAACAATGTAGCGTGTATTCCATACCGCATATAAATATTACTCAGATTATATTATCTTTGGTATATGTATGTTAGATAAAAATGATTGTGATTTTCCAGTTTCGTGCGCAGCTGTTAACATTAAAAAAAGCGTTCGTACTGTTCCTCCGCGAAAAATACATCGCTTCATTGCTAGTTGACGCCTAAATACACAAATATTTAACTTGCAAATGAATACATAAACAATATCTCAGCAAATTACCTATAAATGCTGATATTTTAAATAAAACAACAATCGAATACATATACTTTAAAATAATCTATCATATAATCGATGAGAAGCTAGCACAACACAACGAGCTACCACGACGAACAAAAAAATATCATTCGACAGAAACGGACCAATCAGAAAACAACATCCAGAAAACATCATAATAGAGGACATAACCATGGACATGGTGTCCTTAACAACAACAGCGAAACAACACCACACCTAACTATCAAACATTGAACAACTACTTATTACTGGATCACCTTATCCTACCAAACTACAAGCCGAAAAAAACATCAAATACACACCGTCATGTTTCTCTCTTCATGAGCATCGCCGGGATTTGAGTCATACATCATTCGATGCAGAATTTAATTCTGCATAAAAGAATGTTCATTCTATATTCCGGCGATACTCATGAAGGGAGCTCAATTCCCCAAAAAATAGGTACCATATGTTGACATTTTAATTTTTCAATATTCCGAACTCTCCTCACTCCCTTCCTGAGTATGGCCGGGATTTGAGTCATACACCATTCGATGTAGAGTTTAATTCTCCATAAGCGCATGTTCATCCTATATTCCGGCGATACTCATGAAGGGAGGTGAAATCGCTAAAATTTAGGAACGAACTATTGAAAATGTAAATTTTCAATATTCGGAAGCCTCTTTTCTCTTTTTCTGAGTATGGTCGGGACCTGAGTCATATACCATTCGATGCAGAATTTAATTCTGCATAAGTGCATGTTCATCCTATATTCCGGCGATACTCATGAAGGGAGGTGAAATCCCTAAAAATTAGGAACGAAATGTTGAAAATTTTATTTTTCAATATTGGGAAGTCTGTTTTCTCTCTTCGTGAGTGTCACGGGATATCGAACGATGCATCGTTCGATTCAGTATGTTTTTCTCCATTATATTATTTTGCGTTGAGTATTGAGTTGGATGGTAATGGAAAGGCATGTGTTAAATTTTTGCTTTGGATGTTGATGTGTTTTTTGTTCTTTTATCTTTCCGTTGAAGTTGTCATTCGGATTGCATTGAGATTCGTTTAATTGATCGTTTTATCTTGTTCGTTTTGTTGTTTCAGTTTTTGTTAATTGGTGCTGCAGATCGATGTATATAAAGCGGATTAATTTTTTTTTGCATATGATATGATTGTTTATTTTGAAATATATTATCGTTATGACTTATGTTGTTTTTGTTGTATGTAGTCTCATTGTTTGTGGTTGTGGAAGAGTAAGTAAAAGTGTTATTAAAGTTTTGAATGATTTTTTGTTTTGTGTTGCAGCCTGTTGGGTTTAAGTCTTTTCATGAGTTTGATGCTGCAGTTGCTGTGACTACAGATGCTCATGTTGATGGGACATCGTTAGCAACGTTGGGTTCGGTAGGTAGTGGACAAGGATCGAGTCATCAGGGCGCGAATTGGATGGTTTTGTTTTCAGGTGGACTCAACATTGTTATAGGTGTCTTGTCATCATGTGGTTTTGTGGTCACATGCTGCTGCGGCTCAAAGTTCATTCGAAAGGGTTGTGTTTGTAAGGTAAGGTATCATTTGTGTTTTATTTATAGGTGTAAAATACATATGATTTTATCTCAGAGGTCATGGTTTTATCCAAAGCCGATGTCAGAATATCGACTACGTCGAACTATGAGAGAAGGTATGTAAATAAATTTTTTTGTCAGTGAAATTAATTTTTTTGTCTAGGAAACAAGGTAATGGGGGTGGAAGTGGCTGTTATTCAACAGTCGGAGTTTTTGTCATCAACACCGGCATTGTGATGGACATACTTGGATGAACAGATATATATCTTTTAAATATTTTTTTCTTTTTTGTTTTGTTTTGTTTTTGTTATGCAACTTATCTTGTTTTTTATTTGATTGATCTTGTTTTTTATTTGATTGATCTTGTTTTTTTTCTCTAATAAAGTGTTGTCGAACGATAGAATTTATTTTTTTCGAATTTGACGGATGAATCGATTCTAGTAATTACACTGTATCTATATTGAAACGAATGTGGTGTAAATTGAATTTGTCTTTTGGTTCGTTTGTTTCGATGGGGAAAAATATGACTCGTTTGAATCTTATTGAATGACAACGTATGTGAGAATTACTAAGATACAATAATATTTTTCTTACAAGAAGTCATTTTTCAGTATAGTTTTTTTCAATAGTATCTTTTGTTGTTATCAATTGTTTTTCTTGTTTAGTAGCTAAATGCTTACTCAATTGGTTACGCCTTGTATTAATTGTTCAATTTTTTTTCTTTTTCGTTCTGTTGTCTTTTCTCCCATATGAGGAGATAATTGAGAAAGAATGCATGAATAAGGAAGGGTCATAATTATTTGTCATAGCGATTGCGTACATTGGAGAACGGAAAAAACAATTATAGTGGAAAGAAGTAATTTATTTCAGAAGGAATTGTTTTTCTCAGTCACATCTTTTTGTCATATACGTTTACAACCGGATCAAGGTGTTATCAATATTTTGAAGTTTTAATAAAAAGAATTTATTATTCAATAATAAAGATACCTTTCGAAAACATAAGTTTGACGTGAAGCTAGCTACTAATTATTGTTATACATCTCTTTTTTCTGTCTATACTGAAAGAAAGAAATAATGATAAATCGTGCCAATATTATTCTTTTCTTCATGAAAGACAATAAGACAGAAGATAGAAGAGAAAAAAAATTAAAAAGTAAGAAGAAAAAGGACGAGTCAATAACGTTTACGTTAGTAGGGTTATTTTTTTTAAGAGAAGCAAAAGTATTGAAATCAATCAAAGTAATGACTAGGCATGTAATATCGATTCACATTGATTCTTGAAAAAGAAAACACTGCATAAATAAAGATCATTATATTCACAGTCATCAAGTGATATGAGTTTTAGATAAGAAGTACATTTAATAGAATAAAAGAAACGAAACTCAGTATCAAAAAGCAACGTAGATTATTGAACATGAACTGTTTAATCGATTTTCTGTTAGAGAATCATCATGAAATTATTATTATCAAAGAGAAATAAAACATTAGTCAAGAATCGAAGTGATTTAATTATTTCAACGGCACACAAAATGTATATATGGTACTGATAGAGAGTAAATTTGGATTTTACATTGAATTTGAGAATAGTCTAATACGTCTTAGGGAACACAAGTTACTTTTTTAAACAACACTTTAGTATTGATACAAAGATGACAAGTAATTAACTCATTATATTTCAAAGATAGATCTAGCCATTGTTTGTAGTTGCCTATAATGAAAAAATAAATATTGCAGCTTACAACTTTTTTTCTTATCTGATAGATATACTTGATCAAACATTTTCTCTTTTGTACAGGATCACTATTATATGTTTGAAATGTGGCAACAACTTTTTTAATACTTTTTATCAAATGATCATATTGAATACGTTTTTATAATATTATTTTATTCAGTGAAGAATGAAAAAAAAAGACCTATACTTTTATTAAACCTACAATATTTCTATTTTGTCTTTTTCTTCTGTTGTACAAAGTGACATCATGAGAATGAAAAAAAAATCGTTCATACGATATAATAACAAATGTATCAACTAACAGATATTATACTGAGTTACATTATATTTCTCGTATAATATCTCTTTGAATTCTATTTGTATCTGTTTTAACTTTTTCGATCTGTTTAAAGAGTTTGGTTTTGATGACTTTTATGAGGAATAGTGCCACACTTAGTAGAGCAAAACAGAGTAATGAGAGTAAGTAACTACCAAATTGTTTAAGAACTTTTTTCATCCATGGTTGATCGATGTCAATATCAACTTGTAACTCCATAAATACTTTTTTAGCGGCTGCTTTGTAAATAGATATGATTCGACTAGTTATGTTATTAAAACGAATGACGGAAACCGACTGTTAATTTAAAGTATTATTGATTTTGCCAGTTAGTGTAACAGTAGTATTAACACATGCAGTTGACGGTAATAGGATGTTTGAGCATTGTACTGGTCTATCACATGGTAATGTTACAATCATTGGTTCATTAATTGATATAATATCAGACATTGGACTTGATAATGATTGTGATTCACATTCAAAAGGCTCGCTGCTAGGATAGGCAAACCATATGTTGTTCTTGATATTCAGAATATTGGGCTGGACATTGTTTGATCTTCTCACTTGACACGTGCTCATAGATAAGGGTCTGTTATCAAATAACTCGTTGAGACATGGTAAAGTAGATAATGGAATGCTAACAGGATAATTATGACATTGAACGATTTTAGAGAAAGCACAAGTGTTCAACAAGTTGTCATCGTTCCATAGTATAACTTTTTTATTAATATTATTAAAACCAACAATCACCGGCAAATCAGAATAGACATATTTTTCTCCTTTAAAGAATACTGGTAACGGTGTTAGACGATACACTTGATAAATAGATGAACTTTCTACCGGCATTCGTCGAATAATTGTTGATACGACAAGACATGCAGGACTGGATCGTAAATGTTCATTGTTTTGTATTGAACAAGATTTCAACGCGTATACAGTTTGTGCAACAATCATATCAGTCAACATATTTAAGATTGCTTTCACATTTTTTATGTCAAGTGCTTCATCTTTTGTTGAAACAGTTAATGGTAAAATTTCTTTGATTTGTTCGTCATTTAAAAAAATCATAACCAACTTTATTATTAAATACTTGTTCAACAACTAGCGTTGCTGGATTAATTACACGAGGTTTGAGTGCTGATTGATTAGTATTAATAGAAAAAGTAGGTGTCGTTATAGATTTATCTGTATTACGTGTTACATAAAAATGATTATCAATGAAATAAATAATTGATTTCGATTTTTCAATAAACTTATCGATTTTATGATGTAAAAAAATTCGTCGAATATCTTCTTGAATCATATAAAAAATACTGTCTGTATTATATGATGTTGATGATAGTGTATTAACATACGGTAAAATTGTTCCAACTTCAATGATATCAGGACTTGTCGATTGAATATATTCACAAACGTCGGACATTGGTGAATCGATACATAAATTATTATATGGTATAAATATGTGAAAAATTGATTCTTGAAATTGGTCAGCATATACACCAATTTTATGAAGAGCAATACCTTTGTCAACATCGATGATAATAGTCGTTGATGATAAACATCTTGCTATGATGACTTTATTGATTACAAATATAATCAATAATATTATTTTATATGGAATTATCATGACTTTTTATGTTTTCTAAAAAAACAATAGAGAAAACAGTTTCAACTTCGGCAATATGGATAGTTATGATGGAATATGTAAATAATATAGCACATATCTTTTAATTTTAAGCTTTTTGAAAATGAAGTTGTTTTTTTTCCTTTCTCACCCTCTCTCTATGTATTTAATATCAATGTATATAATGATCTCAATTCACACAATCACATAATGGGAGCTGGAATGAAAATTAAAAAAAGAATTAAGATATTTATACCAATCTAAGAAAAATATCATATAAATAACGCATGCAACCAATACTAATTTCAAAAGAAAGTAGACGAAACTGCTCACTGATGGCAATATTGTAGAATGGTTTATATTTTAGTCATGATCAAACACATAGATAAGTACAGATCGATAGCGTGTTCACTTTAATTACTTTCTCTCAAGTAGGATGTTATCTACTCTTGAGTTGTAGAGCGAAAGTACACAATTTTTTCAACTTAATCATTCAAGATCGGTAGTTTCCATCTTTACTACAGAATAAAATATATTTTAGTAAATACTTACAAAAAAGATAGGCATAAGTAGACTGAACACTTAGTGTAATCTTAACATACTAGATAACTTTATGTTTAAGTAGTTACTGATATCGAACAATGTATAAATACGGTTGTACATACTACAAAATGAACTATTCCCACAAACACTTTGTTATAGCTCACATGTATCATGTGTGATAAATGTTGTGTGAGAGTTTAAAGTGACTATGTATTAAACGAGTAAGAAACTAGAAATAATTTACTTTGTTTAATAGATTTTTATTTTGTTGAATAATTAAAACAATTGTGTGTACCATAAATATTTCAGATTATGCCTTCAAAAGCTAGAATCGACGAAAAAGCTTTTCAAAAAGCACTTCAATCACTCTCTATCGATGAAATTGCTTTGTTGGACTGTTCTAAATCATCAGCTGATATATGGGGTCATCTATGTACATTAATGGGTAAAGCAAAGAACGCTGAAAATTGCCGAGCGTGTTATGATGCATGGAAACACAAGCGATTTAAATCGCAAGATATTATCAATACTATGTTGCAAGTATGTGTTCTGAAGCGTAACATTATTATACATAATGAGTACTGTTTATATGTCTGCAGGGAATCCAACAATTTACTAATAATACTGCTAATCGAAATGGTGTTCATGAAATAGATGAAGTAAGTGATCGTATGTCAATTAGCACAAGAGTATAGCGTCATTTGAGATAGATCATTTCATAATTTTTTTTATTTATTTTTGATTGTGTTATATTAGACACAACGCATTGGCATAGCTATACATTCTGACGTTTCTCAACAAATCTCATCAGGTTCAACTATTGATGATTCTACTGAAAATAATGATACAACTAAAAAAATGGCTACTTCTCATTTGCGAACATAAATAAATCAAATTTAAACAGAGTTAAAATGTTTTTAATTTTCGGTTAATTATGAAATTATTAAACTTATAAAGCTTATTGAAAACAATTAAATTTTTTGAAGATAGATTGTCAATGATTTGCTTAATGAGAGTACATCTAGAAAATAAATTTTTTANATAAACAAATAGATTTATGAGATTAGTACTTGTTTTATAATAGTTTTCTTGTACTAGATGAATACTCTCAAATATGTAACATTCGGCAAGAGAATGTTGTACCCTTTTTTAAAGTCTATTTGGAAAGATACTACGCTTACTAAAACCCATACTTTTGTACTCATTCGTATCCGAAGACACCATTGGTTTATAAGCTTGCCATGTTTGTTGAAATAGTAAGGCATCTGGTGATTTCTCAAGGTGTATACTAAACTTTGACCAGCATGTATATAGATAATCAAGTATAGAGATTTTTCTTGACTCAAAATAAGAATAGTTACATCATCCCATTTTTGTAAGGAATAGACGATCTTTATACCTGAACAATATGCATGTTCAATATATCTTCTTTGTTTATCGATATAAAAGAACCAGGTCGAAAATAACCATAGAAAATGGGGCATAGCAAAAGCGGAAAAAATATTTTTCACATCATGATATTGTTTCTGGGAATGGTGCGGAATAGTATTTGCATTCCTTGATACATTTTTCTTATTTTATCACTGATGAAAGTGCTCCACCCAAGTTTAGTTGCAATTGTTACAGCTAAGTATTTAAAACTTTTTACGTATTCGATTGGTTGACCTCTAAATTCAATCTTAAGCTTCACAGGTACGACTACATTGTGTACTCGTAGTGCTTTTGTTTTTTTTATATTAACTAGAAGAATATTATCATGAACAAATTTTTCTAACAGATCTAATGTCAATTTAGCTCTAAATTTGAGTTCAGTTATATTTCTTGAAAATTGCTTTTCCAGATTGTAACGATTTCTGATAGAAGAAGTCTTAGTGATGATGGTATTACACTTTATTCTATTCCTTCATATCATGCAATCGCCTCGATTACATATAAAGCACACGTTTAAATACCCAACCCTCAGAAAAAACGAAAAAGGATGAAAGATAAAGACAAATATCGATGACAGAAAGATAAGGGTAATACGTAAGATGAGAAGAAAAAATGGCCAGGTCAAATACTATGCATACAATGAACTCAACTGGGAGCGTTACACAGATCACCTGATATTTGTATGGCAAGATCATCAGCAAACATATGTGATACAAATGAAAAAAATAGAGAGGGAAGAAAATATACATGTAGTCGAAATAGAGTGGCAGCAAGTACCGATCCTTGTGGAGCGCCTATGATGTCATACAACGTATTCTTTTTGGATTTGAACTTTTTTTCGTCTCACTACATCAAAAACTAATCTGATAATTACACGTAGACAGATTTAATCGTAAATATCTAAAACATAAATAGTATTAAAAAAGAAAAGCAAACCTTACTTATAAAAAACGTTTTCATATTTATATTAATTTCTTTTCTAACAAAATAAATTCAGAAACAAAATATCTTCTACAAACTCTTCCACCTACTAAATTCTAGTTAAAAACAAAAGATGAATTAGATAGGAAAAAGAAACGACAATTTTCATCCTCAAAAACTTTTTCAATTCTAGTGACTCGCCAGATTAGCGAAGAACGGGTAAAAGGGTTACTCTTTTTTCTATTCCTGACAACATGTCTTCCTACTGACTAACTGAAGGTGTAGCTTACTGCTACATTGGACAGTGATGTTTTTATTCAATTACTTTATATCTTCAGAATGCTCCTGCTTCAAATGCATCACACGCTTACATGGAAGAGGGAGTGAGAGAGAGAGATGAACATAGGAACGAATAATAGAGAAATGATAATGAAAAATAAGAAAAGAAAGATCAATGAGAAATGATATCAATACTCAGACATAGTCTTGTTTACTGTTTTTATTAATAGGTCTTAGTATATACCTAGTCCGAGATCATTTGTAGTTCACGGTTCACGTTCTGACTGCCTTACCGACGGACATTATTCCGCTTTTTCTATCTAGTGCACACACTATGTCACTTATCGATTGCCTAGCTAATTGAACTATACAATTAAGTTATCAACTTTTACATATCAATAAACACTCTACGATGCTGTTTAATACAATTTTATTTAAGTTTTTCAAATTTCAGCATGAATAATAGTTTGTATGATATAATACAGAATTAATTATATAAAGTTGAATAGAAGAAATTGAAAATTGTTTTTATTTTTTCTAAAAGGGTTTATCTCATTGCTAATGTCTAAGAAAATTACTTTATCTAAAAAAGAAGCTAAACACAAAAACAAACTAAAACTAATGTGAAATTTTTGAAAAATTGATATTTTTCTCGTAACGTAATTGATACTTATTTCAATTTTAAGTTTTCGCAATTTAAATCACTAGAATTCATATTTAAACTTAAATGAAATTCTAGCATCATGCTATTAAAATTATTTCTATTTTACTCTATAGTCTAATCAATTCTAAAGAACATTAATAAGCTTTTTTGAGAAATAGTCAGAATACTTCATATCTTCACGTACGCCTTTGTCTTTCAACATAATTTTGTACTTTTATTATAAAAAAAGTACAAATCGTTACTAGCCAGAGAAGTGCTCAGTACGTATTTTTTTGATATAAAACAAGCAGAAGTGCAAAGCTGCATACCGGATATCATGAAATATATACATAAACATGGATTCGGTGAATGCGTTGACGACATAATAGACTAATCAACTTGCTTTTTTTCGATAGTGTCAATTAGATGTCGAATGAAGAAGCGTCACTCTACTATTTTGACAGTTGTTTAAATAGACATCTGTCTATCGTGAAATCGTGGTTTGCCATCAGAACTGATTCATCGAATGGCGAATACTGAAGAATGAAATGTTTCAATCCATCGCTCGTCTTATTCTTTTCTCGCTACGCAATAAACAGACAACGAAATAGGCACGATGGATGTATCTACGTTTTAGACTAGTCCAAACGAGGTCAAGTAATATTCTTCGAAAAGGCAATCGGTCCTGACGAGTAGTGTGGCCATTTTAGGCTAGTCTGATTGAGCGTCTTCATTTTTTTTTCTATACGTGTTTGAGCTATTAAAAATGAATTCTTTATACAAATGAGATTATTATAAATAATATACATAACCAAAATAAATATTATTGCTCTTGAGAACAAACATTTCTCTTTAAAAAACAAAAACAATGAAAATTTGCTAAGTTCTTATGTTTCAATGAGTTTTAATCATCACTTTATAGATAATAGTGTTTTTCGAAAAAGCATACATACAACACCCATTCATATACTTACAGTGTGAGTCAAACGAATTCCTCCTTTCATTTAGTTTTTTCGTTTTTATTACTATAATTCGTTTATTTATTGACAGATTATAGATAATATAGATTTTGTTTCAAACATGAACAAGACACAGATAATATATGAACGATGAAAAATGAAAAATGAGAACGTTTTCAATTTCAAGTTTTTTATTTTAAATACTGAAAGTCCGAGCAGAAAACCTCTAAAATCGATAGAGTATTGTTTATGACCGCATATTATTCTTAAGAATAGAGCAATTCAATATATCTCAATATATGATAAAAAGAATTTCAATTGATTATATTCAAGAAAATTTTGAAATTAAAGTAATATTTAAAAACCCGGTATTACAGAACAAGAGTTAATAGAGTTATAACAGTGCAACGATCAAAATATTTGCCAAATTTCTTTTAGAAAAAAAGATCAGTAACATTGCAAATATCAAGTGAACTCTATTAGATAAGTGTAACGCATTCAAAATTGGTTTTGATAAATATTAAAAAATCAAATATTCTACTAGGAAAAAATTCTTTTCATGAAATAAACTTCTTTTATATATCAAATCATTTCTTTTTGTTATCCTATTGTTTACTTAACACACGTTTTTATTGAATTACGTCTATTAAACGTATCAATTGAAAAAACAGATCGACCTATATGTTTATCATACAAATCAATGTCCTATTCTCAACTCAGCAATTAGTTCAGAAATGGAATCATTGATAGCCACTTTATAATAATAGTTCCTATCAGATTATGTTGATTGTTGAGTGAAATTTCCAACATTAGTTTGATAATCATATATATTGATTCATAACAGTTCTTTATGGAACGTTCAAGTTAGACAGAGCAAAGTTCACTTGTTGAGCTATTTATTGAATGACTAGTAAATCGTAGATAATCTATAGGCTTTAAATATTGACCATTAATTTTAAGATTTTAATTATGAATTTAAAATATTGACTATAAATAATAATTGTTGGTAGCCGAATAGAATCATAGAGGCAAGGAGAAAAATAAAGTTTTTAAGAGATTGTTAAACTAATACAGAAAATGATTATCTTCAAGTCGAAGATTTTTAAATCAAACATCTTATGGTAAATAAATCATAAATGACATTCGAGCTCAACAATGCAACGACCAACTCAGTTTACATAATTATTCTTTTAATGCGTTTAGATCAACAACGTTCAAGCATATTAACAATTTCTCAAACAAACGGAAAATACTAAAATAAATTAACATTCTTTTGTTTAAATTATTTCAATTTTCCAATTTAACAACATTAAATTCTTAAATATTCAATGATAAATAGTCACAATTAAACGTATGGTCAATCATATAATAGCGTGGCTCTGGATCTAGGTCTAACTACTCTGATTGATCATTGTTAAAAACGTTCACTAATCGACATTTGTTCATTAGATTCAATAGAAAACTAATCAAGTTGATCTATTAACATAAGATGATCTTTCATTTGTGAAAAAACTTGTTCAATAAATAGATGAATTCCATCACCTGTGTCGAGATCCTCAGTAATCAATGCAAAACTGATAGCAACTATGACCATACGTAACATCAGACCATTTTTTTTCTTTTATGTCAATTTAAATATCCATCGTAGATTGTCAGACCTTTATGATCTTGATTACCTTTTTGACGTAATAGACTCGATTTTTTATTGTTCATAAACAATCATAACGTTCTGTATCTTCTATCTGATTTTCTATTGGATTTGAACGTCAAATAATCAATAGTTTGATTAGATGGTATAGATCAACTAAGAGAAAAAGTTCAAAGTATTATTTAAATCTAGGTAAATCCTAGAGAATTTTATTATCAGTAAGAAAAAACTTGAGCTAAATGACGAAAAAAATTAGAAGTTGTTATTAACATCAGAAAAAAAATACCTTGCCGATCTATTTCAACAAAAATTCATTTATTTTTTGATTAAAAACTCTATTGTAATTAAATGAATATTCATCGTAAAATTTCGTAATTATGATACACCCAACAGGTGCTACCATCCTTGTCCATATCTATTAAAATAGTGAGAATGATCTTCGCAATAGAGACACAAATCATAGACAGACAGTTAGTTGATTAAGAACATTAAATTGATTGACTTGGTAGACAATATCTTATTCTTAGGAGAAGATGAAAATGAATATATTAGTATGAAAATGACATTGAGTAGTGATCGGTTAGAATAATGGCAGGTAGTTACATAGAAAAAAGTTTACTATTCGACTTTTCTTAAAATCGTTTTAACATTAAACCCTCGTGAAAATTCTAACTATTCAACGAATTTATTCGGCCCCCTTGACATTGTGTTCCACCTGGACGCTATGCTGTTATTGGTGCATATGGATTTTTAGGTGGAGTTGGTCGAATGACTGTTTCTCTTGTTGTAATTATGAGTGAAGTTACTGACGGTTTATCTTACATTGTTCCCTCAATAGTTACAGCATTAACAGCAAAATGGGTAGGAGAAGCATTCGGTGAAGGAATCTATGAAAGTGTCACATTAAGTGGTTATTCATATTTAGCTCATGAGAAATTAAAAGGAGAAATAAAGTTTTGTTTTTCTATTTAGGAAATCGTAAAACTTTTCGTTTTACTATAAAAGCTGGTGAAGCAATACGTGCTAATCGTTTCGATGAAGATCTTCCAATACTATGTACATATCAAGATAGTATGACAATTGCATAAATTGATTCACTTGTTCGTCATCATCCACATTCAATTTATCCAGTTCTTATTAGTGAAGATTATCCTTGTATTATTAGACAAGTTCAACGAAGAAATTTATTAGTTGTACTTAAATCACGAAAAATGCAATTAACGTTTACACAAACAAAACTGTCACTTAACCGAAAAGTATCTGTTCTATCAATGTTAAATTGAATGACAACTCTGACTCTAGATAAGTTTTTCTTCTCTTCCACGGAAGTTTTTTTCTATTTACACGAGTCATATTTTATTATTTCTAATCCTTTTTGACAAATATTTTTATTTTACCCCTTTTCTATGAAATATAAAACTTTATTGTCTCCCTATTTCAAATTTTATTTAAATAATATATCACAATAATCAGTAGATTTCTGCATAAGGAAAATAGTCTTTTGACTTTGCAAGAAGTTTTTGTTTATTGTTTGATACTAGACCAATGATTTTGGAGCAATTAACTCGTGTTGCATCTCTTGTAAAATCGTCCGTTACTTTTTGTAAAGAATCATAACGTACACGAAGGTAAATATTATTTAATAAACATGTTTTAGTATTATTTAAAAACTGTTCCACATAATTTTCATGAGTTGCAACAAGATCAAGTTTAGTCAGATGAGTATATTCTATCATTAACCATTTTAAATTCTTATTTTGTTGCGGTTCATGATTATATAAACTTAATTTTTCCATAAATGGAAATGATTCAGCAATTTGAAGGAAAAATTTCGTGTTCAAATGGACGTTCATCACATAATGATATTTCACGAACACATTTAAATAATCCACCAGGAAAATTATTCGTTATATTATTATAAAAGGTCCATGTATATGGATATGAACAAATATGACAATAAAATAAGTTTGATTTGGAAAAATAATCAACACATGAAATAATTTCATTATTTTTAAAATTTTTAAATGTATTTTTAATATCTTCATTTGATGGTAAATTAACTAAATCATTACGAGGAATAAATGAACGAATATTAAATGTAAATTTGTTTAATTTTATCATATGATTTAGAATATTCTTTTCCAAGTTATCATCATCAATGATTAGCCCATATGAACTGAAAAAGTATAAACTCAGTTCTTCTAAATTTGGCATTGTTTGGAAAAGTGGAACAAATATTTCATTGTACATCATTAATTCATTTTCATGGATTAGAGAAAAGCATTTTAAATTGGGAAGTTTTTTCTAAACAAAAGAAAAATTAATAAATATTTGCTAGTATTATTTATTCATTCAAAAAAGAGATTATGAGTAACTTGCTTGGTAATTGACTGATGGCCATACACGAACAGCAAGAGGACAAATCGTAACATAGAACGTTCGAAGTTGATTGAAATGCTCAAGTAAACAAAGACAATCTATGATACTTTTTATTACGACATGTAATTGTAATAGATTTGAAGAGAATTTAATCGAAGGTGTTCTACCAAATGTTAATTGTTCATAATCAGAAGATGAACTGAAATTTAAATATTGTAAATTTTTGAACTCAGTACATATTTGACTAAATATAAATATATTTTCATGTCCAAATAAATCTCTTCGGTACATACGTCCTTTCATATTAATAAAAAGTGATGAAATTTGACTTTGAAAATGACGAATTAAATAACTTCCATCTAAATTAAGATTGAAAATTTTCCTTAAATTATTTATTAGTTTTTATTTTGTTTCTTAACTTAAAATATTCTATTTTCTTTTGCTTAGCAATAAATCAATTTTAAATGATCTTCATTCAAATTCTCTAATAGATTATAATGTATCGTTCATACCGTGTTTTTTATCTTAATGTTCTATTTTATACTCTAGACTTTCTATTTTGAGAATCAGAGAATTTTGATTGAAGATATCTAAAAACAATATTTATATTTTCTTTTAACTGATGTCTTTATTTTGAATTTTTCTCAAATTGATATTCTTCAATTAATATTAATAACAAAACTATTTTATAATAAAAGTACCCGTGTAATAATCAAATGTCTGATTATACAAAATATATTTTGACGTAAATTATCCTTAGGCAATTCATCATTGAAAGAGTAGAAGAAAATATCTTACTAGAAAAGAGATCATTAGCTGTTTCTGGTTCAAGATCATATAAACCAAGTGCATGTAAATTAGGATAATTTGTTGCAAGAAGAATACGTTCCATAGATGATGATTCAACATTAAGTCTTTCGATTTTATCATTAATTTTAGGTAAAATTTCAAGAGGGTGTGGGTGTGGGTGTGGGTGTGGGTATTATCTTCAATTACACTCTCACCCACACCCCACACCCACACCCCAAAATTCGAATACACAACAGTCATAAGGGGCATATCACTTTCGAGTGCTTCGAATATTAGCTAGGGTGCCTAAATTTTTTTCTTTTATACACTCAACACGTTAAGTAATAGTGTAGATCGACACGGCTTTTCGTGCTCTACAAAATGACATATTGATCATGTTTATCTTTAACTTCTATCTTAGATTATGTAGAATGACATGAGTATGATTAGTACGATTCTCATATTCGGCTGATACTTTTGTAGAATACTATTGTATTTAAAAATCAGTTGAGTACTAAAAGTCTTTATGATCAAAAACTGCACCGTGTCATGCTTTATAGATCTATATAGTTTTCATAAAAAT